TCCAATGCCAGCGCCCTCCAAATGGATGTAGACGCTGCCAAGCAGTGGTCGTTGAACTGGTACCTTCCTCTGAATGATGAAAAGTGTGTCCATGTGTCGTTTGGAGGGGGTTCAGCGAATGCCTTTGTTATGCATGGTGAAAAGGGACCAGAAAACATCATGAGGATAGATGCCAAAAATGATTTAGGCATCTGGGTCTCCTCAAACTTGTCCTTCGCACTACACCATGAGAAATCGGCCCAAAAGGCATTCGCCGTTTTACGGATGATCCGACGTACCTTCTCCCGTATTACTCGCATGGACTTCCAAATACTCTATGGGGCCTACGTCAGACCGCTCCTGGAGTACGCCAACCAAGTTGTCTACTCAGGACGTACGAAAGACGTTACCCTCATTGAGCTTGTCCAGCGGGCCGCCACGAGAATGGTTGCCGGCCTCAAGTCCGTGGACTACGAAATGCGTCTCGCGATGCTTGATCTCTTTCCCCTGGAGTACCGTCGCCTCCGAGGGGACCTAATTCTTACTTACGCCCTGTTTGAACAAAGCTTGGCAAACAGGTTTTTTACCGTTGACCCAGCAAACACCCGGCGGGGGCATAGTAAGAAAATCTTCAAGCTCAGGGCACACACATCCGTTAGACAAAACTTTTTTTCATTTCGGGTAGTAGCTGCGTGGAATGACCTTCCTCCGACGGTTGTACACGCTCCTTCTCGAACCCAATTTAAAGCACTATTAGACGTTTATTTATGCGAATCCTCGCGCTGGCGAGCATACTGCCCCGCGCTGAGAACATACAGAGCAGTGCTACATCCTTTTTTCACTTGTGCCTTTAAGGTGAACGACAGTCACTGACCGACAAGAACAAAACTGACCCGAGAAGCTTGGGCAAAACCTCAGTCCCGTGTATCAAACCATGAATCCGTGAATCCGTAAACTGACCAGTTACCCCTGATAAGACCGACCGTACCGCCTTGAGATCTCCTTCGTCGCTGGCCCCATTTGCGAGACATAACGCTCCCTCGAATCACATCCCAAAAAGTGTCTATCTTAATAGGTACGAATGTACCAGATGCACACTGGGTGATAGAGCAGCGTGTTGGGACCAGTAAACCTTATGCGTTGTTGACAGTATTTGGTTGGGTCGTTTTTGGTCCATCGGGTATCGGCGGTAGCAAAACCACCGCAATAAACTGCCTTAATACGCAGGAGACTATAGTAAGCGACGTAATACGCTTGTTCGAACTTGAATTTAATGATCAAAGATCCAAAACGGATATATCAATGTCGATCGAGGATAAACACGTTCTGAGTCTGGCGAAACAATAAACCAGCCTCTTAAACGGTCACTATCATGTCCGGTTCCAATGGAAAGTGATTGGCATGACATACCGGAAAACAAACATATAGCCCAGAAGTGACTGAACTACCTTCGGCTCCGTCTATTGAAGGACCCAAATCTCTTACGCCTGTATACAAATACTATACTGGAACATGAAACCAAGGGCTACGTCAACAGGGCCCTGACCGACCATGTGAGGTACGTCGATTCGTCCCTCACCATCCCGTTTTTAATCCGCACAAACCGGGCGAGGCGAGGATAGTGTTTGATTTTGCGGCGAAGTCCGGAAAACTGTTGCTAAACGATTGTTTATATCCGGGACCAGAGTTGACAAATGATATCACCGGAATTTTGCTACCATTTCGTTTGAACGATATTGCATTGTCTGCAGACATCGAAGAAATATTCTTGCAAGTTCGTCTGAAGCCAGGAGATAGAGTAGCACTAAGCTTTCTATGGTACACCGACGGCAACTTGGAGCAGACCCCAGAGGTCTACGAAATCAATGTTCACCCGTTTGGGGCGACGTCCTCGCCATTTTGCGCAACATTTGCTTTGAGACAAACGGTTTATGACAACTGTGAATCATTTGACGAAAGCACTATCAGAGTCATGAAGAAGAATTTTCACTTTGATGACTGCTTGGTGTCGGTCCATTCTGCCCATGGAGCTATTAGGCTGATCGACCAGCTGTCTAAGTTGTTGAAAAGGGGTGGCTTCCATCTGCACAAATAGATAAGCAACAGCGATGAAGTTTCCTCCCAGATACCGGTAAGCGAGCGTGCGACAGACTTGGTGTCTTTAAACGCAATACATCCTGACATACACAAGACATTGGGACTCCATTGGTGTGTCAGGACTGACAGCTTCAAGTTTAAATTAACTATGCCTGAGCGTCCAGTGACCAAGCGAGGTATCCTCTCGTGTGCAGCCTCCTTATATGATCCATTAGGATACGTCGCACCTTTGCTGTTACAACCAACCTTTGCTGTTACAACGACAACTTGCGGCCGAAAGCCACACAGACCCTCACAATGGTCACCAGGCCTGCATCTCATTTTCCTGACCACGAGCCCTCCACTTCTACCCTTGGACCCCCGCCTGTGCCTCCTCAGACATCAATGGCATCAAAGAAATCCCCCCCTGTGGTGTCGGACGCAGAATCTTTCCAGCCCCTATCCTACAGTCGAAGATGGGAACACAGTCTCTCGCTTAAGACCCCCCGACCTAATGACACTTCGCCCTTTTCCACCAAAGCGCGCCCTCGGGCTCAAACACCTACTATCAAAGCCTGGTATTGT